AATAAACAATGCTAAATGAAGGTAATATTCAACAAATGTTAACAATTGTAAAACTGTGTTTCTTGAATATTTATATTGTATAATGTGAAAGAGGAGCAAGAATTATTGAAGCAGACCATTTATGCTGATTTATGAACGTGACAAAAGTTTGATTGCCTTAAGATTAATTATTAACAAGTCGGCTTTGATGACATAAGAACAGAAGTGTCCCATCTGATTTTACTCCTTGAAAATTAAACTCTTTTTCTCCTTGTAAAATGGCCTAAAATGAATTGAAGAAAGAAAGTAAAATTTAACTTCTTAAGTTTGACTTCAAAAGAATGAAAAAAAGAACAATGTCCAAAATGATGAAATATTCAGAGCAAGATTTCTCAAAAAACATCTGATGTTGCCACAAATAGTGACAAATTCTGCCAAGTGTGGAGGAAAATTAGATTAGATGGTGAGATAGAGGTTTGACAGTAGGACAGGCAGTCAATGTGTGATCATGGGGAACAGCTGAGATGGTAGCTGCAGTGGGGGAGAAAAAAGGCTGGACACAGATGGACACAGAGAAGATTAGGAGCAAACTGATGAGGCAGGATGTGTGGGGAACCAGGGGGATGCTGGCACTACCTCATGGCTTAACCCTTCCCGGGCTGGATGCGGGCCATAGCAACAGTCAGCCAGGGGGGCACACCAACAAAGAACAATCATGAATACCACCTACAAGACGTATAGCCATAGGAATGATCAAACATCAACAATAGCTTCAAGTAGTGAGGCAAATATACAAGAAAAAAATGAATTAAAGATTTATAAAGTTGTTTCCCCCCTCAAAGTAGCTACATGTATCAGATATGTATTTGTTTCCTAAATCAGTTCTTGGCCATGACAAAAATTAAGGTGTCAGTCAGCCCACTGCTCTATCATTGAATGCCAGAGTATGAGAGCTGCCATGTTGGACTAAGAAAACTGCTTGACCCTTTGCTAGTGAAAGTGTTACCCAAGGTGTTTTAGTTTAAAGGGGAGAAGTCAATATTGGACCTTGGTTCCAGACAGACCATTGGTGTGCGATCAATGTGGTCATTGCAGTGAGTGAGGTTATCCCAATGTCTCCCCCTACCCCACAGGGGGACCTGTAGTTGGAGTCTGCTCTGTCAGCTCTAGTTATCACTTACAGCCCTTCTCAGGGGCAACCAACCCCTGTGACATTTACACTGCTAGTACTGTGTTACATCTGTCTCGCCAGGCCCACAATCAGTAGAAATCAGGTTACACTACTACAATGTGATTCTGATTGACCAGTGCTTAAATCTATGAGAAAATCAAGGATTTCACTGCAGATTACAGGGGACGTTTGTCTCCCTACCTCCTACCAACCTCCCTGGAGGTGAAGGGAGACAACTAGCCATCTATACATCTTGTCCCCAGACAGCAAATCTTGGCTCCTTGAAAGTAACCAAAAGTTGTCCAAAGAACTAAATGTTGGGTTGCAGTATGTCAGGCAGGAATCCTAACATTATAATTCCCAGTGAGGTATGGTTGACCATTTAGTTAAGAAAAGAACAATTCAATGTTCAATTTTCACATCATATGTATTATGAGAGGTCAGTCAGTCATGTCATCCTATTTCATACTATTACATCTTGTGCGGTAACTTTTAGAATAATACAAAATAACATATTCACATTTCACATTTCACATATCCTTATCCACCATCAACTGACAATGATACACAGAGTGTACATGTGGAAAATATCAACAGAATAACAACATTGCACATTGCTGTACTACAATTAGCCATCAAATACATAATTCAGTTCTTTTCTCTTTCAATCAAAAAGACAGTTTCATAAATCCTGACACCATCTCTGCATAATTATGAATCGTTATCTATGGAACTGTTAGCTAACTATTCAAGTCAGAGAACAACTAAGCACAGGATGTCTTATAAATCCCTGCCTAAAACAAAGACAGCAACATGATCCACGGCCATGCCCCATTACCCTCAAGACAAGCGCCTGGTTGATTGCATCACTGTGCATTACCTTCCTGCCATAACCCGACCCAGCTTTATCAAGTAATTCTAGGAGCCTGGGCCTCAAGCTGTCTCTACTGTCCAGTGGCTGGTGGGAGTATGTACTTTCATCTATTACCTAAACAAAGAGGGTCGCTGCTGACCACAAAGCAATTAACACCAGGAAGTGATTAGAGTTGGGTATGGGATTCCAGTCTGGTGGCAGTTAGCAGTAGCCTTATCTCCTAACTGTATCTAACAGGACAATCAATGGGCCTCGACCACTTCTGATAACAAGAGAGAGCTTCAAAATGTCTTTGAGGGAATTACTTTGCCATATTCTTCCAATCTTGGTCCATGTCTCCTGGCCAGGAGCATCAAGGTACAAGAAAAGTGGGAAGCATGTGAAGAAGGGAAATTTGTAATAACTTGCGGGCAATCATAAGTTTGACCATCGGCTGTGTGATCATGGAACTTTCCTGTAATATATCACAGGAATTGCTGCATTCTGTTATCATTCTCTATTGCTAAAAGTTACATATTCATAATTTTAAAAACTTTTAAATACAAAACACAAATAAAACTCATCCCATGTTCCATGACAATTTGTATCCTGATCCATCCATTTAACCATAAAAAAATAAAAGGAAAATCATGAAAGTTTTTTTTTGTTCAAGACATTATTTCTCCTTGAGTTAATCCTGTACCTCCTTGTTTATCATATTTGCAGTAAACGGGAATAACTTGTAGCAATGTATGAAGTACATACAACTCTCTGCCTGCAAAGCTCTACAAATATCTTAATAACTCTTAACCAAACCAATAACGTTGCTAATGAAACCATTATGAATGCACCTACACAAGCAAATGAAGTTGGCCACTGGAATATGTTCCAAGTGACCTACCGATTGCAAGCACCTGCGTAATAGACTTGGTAGACGACTTTACAAAGGTGATAACATGATTAGCAGCATGGCGTACAAATTCTTAGATTGCACACCTTAATAGAGGGATTAAGTTGCATTTAAACACAGGAAATTGTCATAATTTATAAGTCATGATAGATTTCTCATGTCTGAATCATTAGTACGACATGATCACGTACATGAAACTTATGATCTTATGAAACTTATACATGATCTCAACTCCATCCTCACATTTAGCTTATGTCATTCTTCAGTTGCACTTACAACCTGAAGGTTTTATAATCATGAAAAAGTTTACCCAAACTGCTTGTTTTCAAACTGTATCTAGAAGATACTGGCATAAAATGTCATGTTATATAACAAAGCATTCACGTTCTCAAATGTGATACTTGAAGTATATTGCATAGATAACGGTTTTCAGTGTCCTCCTTGCCATACATGTTGCTTCCAGATATGTTTGCATATCTGGATAATCACATTTGGTGCTGTCTCTCAGTCAGGCATTGATGGCACCTGACGTTTGACAAACTTGACTCAGACACATCATTTCCTGGTTCCACTACTCCTCCTAATTATTTAAACATGGCCATATGTCAAACTTAGTCTGGGCTGACAATGTTTTTAAAGTGTGAAATAGAAACCATATTTGATGGAAGAACATTTTTGCGGAAACAATTTTGGCTCATGGTAAATCTAACATTAAGGGATTTGAAACACCCACTAAAAAAAGTTTGTATTATCGGATACAATCTGAATTCTCTGATGACATTAAGTATTAATTCGACCTGGAATGGTCTATGTCATAGCAGGAAGCTAATGTGTGCCTCTTTGATCTCAAGAATTTTAAACATTGATTGATATGGTATTTATCAAATTATTTGACCGTAATCATTGTCATATTTGAGATGAATCATATATTTCATGTTAAGTTTAACAACATGACAATTTTTTTCATTTAAGTCTAAGTGAATTATAATGTGTAAAAAACTATTGGATTCAAAGATACTGTTGTGTTATAGTTTTTGTGACAAACCGAAACAGTATATTTTTTCTCAAGGGATTTCTTCTAAAAAAATCAGATTTGACTCTATTTTCTTATTTGAAAAAAACCCTGGAATAAATATAAGAAATTTAGACTAAGTTGAAATGGTGAAATTCTAAAGTTTGGCATCAAGATTTCCTTTTTAGCTGACAATTCCCATTAATCTACATCAATCAATCAATCTTTATGTACTCTATATATTCAGTGTTTACTTGTTTACTGATTTTATTTCAATATTGAGAAATACTGGTTAATTATAAAGAAGTATTAACAAATAAAAATAGGTAAAGGATTCAACTGAGACAGTTTTCTGTTTGATTTTTGCTATGAGTCTCTGAAGCATGTGACTCTCAGCCCCACCACCTGTACTGACACAGAATCTGAGTCACTAGAACACATAATCCATGTAAAATATACTGACAGTTGAAATGTTTTCCAAAATACACAACCAGTTTTTGTCAACGAGAAATGTTCAAGGGTGCTGTGATAAGAATGCCAGTTACAGCCTGGCTGTCAGTTCACAGATCAGAAAAGTACAAAAGTAATACCATGCTATAGACAGGAGCGTATGCCATTACCCAGCTGAAATGTGCCTAGTTTCTCACACTAGTTACTGGGACCAGTTCTCATCAAAATAATTGTTTTCATAAACTGTTAAACAATCTCTCAGAAGATTAATGTTTTAAAGGATCAAGTTTTTTTGCAACAGTGGGACTTTGATATATTCCAGACTGTGATTCAATGTACAATGATAACAACACAACACAAGTTGAGCAGAGCAGCCACAGACAACCCCTAACCTACACGGATGATAAACCAACAGTCATCTTCATCTAGATCTACCTACTGCTAGCTGTCACACACACAGCATACAATGCTTGTTAACAGGTAGAAGAAAATCAAGTTTTCAGTTCTGCCATACTGTCACACAACATGATGTAAAAGTAAAAGACAAAAACATGTTATCTAGCAAAGACAGGTGAGACAGCTAGATGAATTATCTATGCACTTAGTACAGGTGTGAGACACTTACCGTGGGAGACCCAACCATGCTTGCATGTTTCACAGTGGCGGAGACAGGACTTTCCAGGGGAGAAGCATTCACACAAACAGTTGGGGTGCGTACAGCGGATGGCCTGGAAAAAGAAGGCTGTTTTCATAGAAAACTCCGATTTCATAGCAGCAAATTGTCGTATAACATTGTGAAGGTTTGGAAGTCGAGGAGGTCTGTCAAACATCCGTATGTCCATGCCACGATGGAAACTGCCACGACCATGAATATTCATTGCTTTGTTCTCCCTGGGGGTAACTCTGAGCACTAGTAGTAAAGCAGGTTGATATGCAATTGTCTAATTCCCAAAACATGCATGTTTGCTAGTTTGAAAAGTTATTTCATTTTCAGGAATACAGCTAGGGTGTGGAAATACACAAACTGTCCTTATTTGAGAGGATGGCACTTTAAGCCAGAGGAAAAACTTTGGTCTGACAACTCTTCATTGCTTCTCAGAGTGTTCCAGCCTCTCTCTTAAACAGAAACAATTCCAAAAATCCCTGTTACTAAATGACAGATGCCCTGCGTAATAAGCGAGAGGCATGGAGTATAGGTAATGGACCAATGTGCGAGCCATAAATGAGGAGCGAACTTGTCGAGCATGTTAGACACATAATTTCATTTCATCTCATTATTGATGTGGACGGTTTTTTCTTACTCTCTCGATCGCCCTCCCTCTCTCGGCACGGATTCTTCATTCGAGACTGTTATTCTAGCTCGGGCCTAACGAGGCAGATTTTTATTGTCATGGTCTTAATAACAGTGATCTGGAGCTTCCTGGTAGTGAAGGAGGCGGGCGGCCACTGGTAGGGTCCGAGGAGGGAAGGGGCAGGGCTCAGAGGAAATTAACAAAAACTGCACATAGATTATGTTCCCTCACAAAGATAACATTACTCAACACTCCGCTGCTGGTCAATGATTATGAAAATTTGATGAGAGATGATGGACAGGCGAGAAAAGTTGAAGGAAGGAGTTATTATCTTGTGAGGCTAACAGATATTTAGTGGTTGCTGATATGTCGGTATTAACACAGTACCACGCAGTACAGCCGATACTGTGCTAGGAAGGACCAGAGAGAAGGGGAACCTGCTACAGTTTGTTATACCACAATCTCTCACCTAGAAATTCAAATGTCTTTAGAATTGTATAGAAATCTGTAACATATATGTACCCACCTTTAGGCATATTTAAAACACTTTTCTTGTGTGCAAAATTATTCTTTAAATTTTGTTCCTTTCATCATCTGAATTGGCTTACTTTCTACATGTTTTTATAAGGATAGTTATAATCCTGCAGGTAGCTTGAAATCTATGAAATTCCAAAACATCAAAGTTGAAATATATTTTAGGTTTCTTGTTAATGAGTGTGGATCACAAATACAATTGCAAAACATCTCTACTGTAGATGGAAAATCAGCTCTGGATATAGAAATCTAGTCTTGTTGACAAACCTGTTGATCAAATGCAGGACAGCTTAGGCAGAAGCAGCCATTACATGTGTGATATAAGGCATTCAAGACTTGACCATGATAGTCTTTTTGAAACCATTGTACTTTCATTTGGAACAAAAACATTATCAGATTCTTTGATTAGTTTTATTTCATGAAAAGTAAACAGGTATCCCAACTTCATAAAAACTACAGAAATAATAATAATAATAATAATAATAATAATAATAATAATAATAATAATAATAATTACAACAACAAAATGTTCAGCATGTAACAAAACTATACTTGTCAGAATAAACTCAAACTTTAAATATAAGCTTTCTCTTTAGCTTTCACTAGCTATTTAATTTCCTCTGAAAACACATTGAAAGATCTACCCCTCTGACATCTCATGTTAATGTTGTTAACACGATGAAAAAAACCTTCTGCAGATGATACTTCAATATTATTTTGTCAGGTTATTATTAGCTTTTCCTATGGGAAGAAAAACGTCCAACTACAACATCAAATATTGCCATGTATTCATTACACCATACAATCCACCTCCATTTATGTTTGCACACAGATTATCTATAATTTCCCCGTTAAAAGCCCCTGGGCTGTGGAGTGAAATGCTACTGATATATTGAACAGATTTCTATAGAGCCCACTTGATTGGTTATGATGTGGAGAGGGTTGAGTCTACCTGTAAATCAAATGCTTTGAGTATTTTGATTTATCCCCTTTTCTCTGCTGCTGTGAATGTATGGGGTGAGGAAGCTTCAATAAGTGGCCACCCTAGCACTGTTCACTCCCAGGTAGAAATCTCCAGCATGGGCTTGCACAGGGAGCACTGAACCAGCCAATAACTCGACCTTTGCTGATTTCTTGACCTGGTGGCTCCAAGAAACATACAGACATGGCCAGGCATGCTACTCCCAATGCTCCCTCGTTTGGTGCAGTAATTGAACAATTCTTTATTCTTTGTCAATACTTTTGTCATGTGGTCGTGAGAGACATTGGGAGAAGGACAGATGCTGAGTTATAGGACATAAATACAATTGCTTTGACACAGGCTGGAGACACCTGGAATTTTTCATGTCATGACTGACAAATCAAAGTCTGGGGAGTTGGGAAGACAGATGACTCTGCCATCGAAAATGTTGTTGCTGGAATCAAAGTTTGGTTTTATCAGATTAAAGCAGGAATTTGTCACTGACGTGACCATTGACTGAAGCTAAACGAGGATACTCTCTGATTCTGGGTGTCATTTGCACACAGCAGACGCGCTCGATTCCATCTTCTTAATTGGGACTGGTGGGCCTGGATTTGGAGGAATGCCACACCACAGGGAGGAAAGAAGAACAGAGCCATTATTTGGCCAACCAGCTCTCTGTCAAGTTGTTGATGCAACAACAAAAGACGCTGAACTGCCATTTCTTGCAGATGATCATAAATGTCCTTTTGTGGCCAAGCAGATTATAGTTTGGGCATAATAAGAGGTATTCAGTAAAGAAGATATACAGACCAACATGAAGTGGTGGTTGACGGCTGGTGGGTTCCCACAGGCCCAGAGACCTCAATCGGGGTAATGAGTCCCCTTGATCAATATTGATCAATACCACAAAAATGTCTACCCTACGAGGACAGACAATACATCTCTATGACAAATCCAGCCAAGTTCTGCTGGACAATAAGCAGTAGTGGCATCGCTCAGTTAGTGATTAGGGTGATTGAATGTCATTAACTGACTCTTTGACATGGGGCCTGGATTGCAGGGGACCAAGGGCAGCTACTGGGGACAAACGTGCCTGATGAATGCATGGGACGCACTTGGACCATCTCAATCATTTTAGCTGTGTGAAACTCATTTTCCTGCCATAGCAAGATATATTGACATTGGGCTCAAATAACTTGAGAGCTGGTTGGGAGAGTGTCATGAAACTTCATCTCTAAACCCCATTTCTCCAGCTCCCCATCTCTGGCATCTGTGGGCTATAAATAGCCCCTTCCTCTCTCATCCTATCTCTGCACTGTCTACACTGTCATCTGACAAACTTCCCTTCCCCATCTCGCCAAGTTTTCTCAACAAATATTACAGTCGCAGAAGATCTGGTGAAACTGACTAGACAATTCCACTGCCCATTTCATGAAGTATGGATGCTGTCTGTACCAACCCTTGTTTACCTCGATGTAGAATGACACAAGACTGATGATGACCTCTGAAGACGAGCCAAGGATGCGTAGTGCTGTATATATCCCATCTACAGATGCCTGCGATTCCTACCACTGAACCGTGAGCCAAACATGGGACTCATTCACACAAATAATCATTGATTTATCACTTCCCCTAATAACTTCTCACCTCCACTCTTCCTCTCAGTCCACACACACCTTTACAGCAAAGTTTAAATACTCAAAAAGTTGAATAAAAGTGAAAAAAACCTACCTCAAGCGGTTTCATGACTGGCCTGACATGGGCATGCTGACTGGCAAGTAGTAGGCTTCCCTTCCCCGTCACAGAGCTGTAGGGGACGCCTGGTGAAACACACACCAAACACAAGCCAAATTTAGACAGTGAGCACTGGGGTCCACACAGGCAGGAGGGAGGGGTGATTGGTAAATGAACAAGTTTTATCATGTGTGGCAGAAGTGTGGTCTGTGTGCTGCCTATCTGTCCCTGGGTTGTCTTGTCTCTACCAGATGCCAGGATGGACAGACCAGGCAAGGCAGTAGGGAGGAGGAACCAAGGAACGAGAGATGACAGCCATATTGCTTTGATCTTGTCTCAGGGAAACAGGATGGGCAACTATGGAGGGGGTGTTCCAAAACTTTGTCAAACTTTCAGAGGGTGTTACAGCATATGTGGATATAATATTTCTTTGAGATACATTTTGGTAAATGCGTAGAACTTGACATGTGGCACCTCCAGGGACAGAATTTGAATAACAACCAATGATTTTGGAAAATGATGACATGCCAAACAAATAACAAAACTTTGATGGAGGTGAATGTATGCTTCACCTTTATGAGAAGCAATTTGCACAATTGTAAAAACACATAAATACTATAGGCTGATTATTGACAAGAGAGGACACAATGGACAGGTCACATGACCTGACATGCATGGCTGGAGGTTAAGTGCATTTCTGAACATAATATTTTCAATATTTCACACCATCACTTCTGAAAAATCTATAATTTCTACAATTAATAAACTATTAAAGTTGACAATATTATTTGACGATTTAATATATATAATTCAAAATTCAAAAATGATCAGTATTTAACACTCTGACAAAATTAACTCTCCATGTGAATAGTATTTAAACTTAACCTAGTGTAACAGTTCACAGTGACTACTGGTACATACTTTGCTTCCCACCGGATTCATGTCCCTGTAATCCAGTAGTACTGATAGGAAAATAGCTATCATAAAATTCTTACTTACAAGCCATCAGAGCTAGTACCATAGGATAGATGACTTTGTCTTACACATAAGCCAGGTCATAAGCCAGACAGATGGCCACAGTAACCAAACTGTTCCTTTGTAGCCCCACATGATGACTTCAACAGATCCGTATCCGTTGCTGCTAAACTACCCCCAAGCATCTAGCCCATCCTTACATCACCTACAAATGTCTTTATGGGCCTCAACATATACTCCTGCTAAACATACAGTTGTCACCAGTTCTCAGTTTCAGCTTTAAGGAATATTTCTTGGTCAAATTCTTGGTAAATTCAGGACATAAACAACTCTTTACAAATCTCATCCCACATTTTTCTTTTTTCCTCAAAGAAACATAAAGCATAACCAGCATGTTTTCAAGTTTTAATCCACTGTTTTCAGGTCTCCATTATGAGAAGTTAACTTTTTCTAAGGTAAGTATTTCTAAAATATTTATTCCACAATCTGTCCAAATGAAACAAGAAGCGAGTTAGTATGCACTGTATTGCTCCAGAGACAGTTGCTAACAACTGTCCAAATTCACACTTTACTATTGAGTCATACAGGGAAATCATTCACTGTGTTAACAGTTTCTCATAAAAGTATCATTAATAGTATTAAACTTTTAAAACAATTTATTCACATGTAGATATAAAGTTTACCTATATGAAAATACACAAATTCTGAAAATGAGTTATGAAACAGAAAACATGAAAATTCAATTTCAGTTGAGATAAGTTAATGTGTTATTTTATTTGTTAATTGATAAAAATGTGTAGCTTTACATATTTTCATCAATTTCTAACATACAGCAACATTCTGCTGATGACATCAGTCAGCAAAGTTGCACTGCTGTGAGTGTCATCATACCCATTTTCAGAATGTTGCGACACAAATCCCATCCAGCTTTGCCGCAAGAAATACAGAAAATGGGAAAATCTCCATTTTGTGTGATATAGAACCATGTATCTTTGACGATTTGACTTATAGTCAACAACCACTTCTGGAGTCCAATAGATTGACTTACAATGTCATGTGAAGGACTCTCAATTCACGACGGTTGCACAAGTAAACAAAACCATATGAGTAGACATCATCAATTCAGTACAGAAACTGTATTTGATAGAAATTATGTATATTTTATCTTTTGATCTACTGAACTCAATCAGAGTTTTAGAAGATACAGAAACAGGAACAGAAAGGATGTCTTTAGACAGAATATGATATGCATTTCTCAAAGTATTAACATTACAATAAAGAATGTATAGTTGTACATAACTACTGAATGTTTCAACTAACAGCATGCAAATGTAGTTGGTGAAGTTGGATCAACAGTATTTAAGTTATATCAAGACAAGTCAGCTTGAATTAGGAGGAAAGCCCAAAGTGATGCAGGTCCTAGACATTTACACTTTGGTGAAACTCCTAAGCAAACCGTGAATCATAACAAGGAAGAATCTGGGATTTAAACCACAGTCAGCAGCTGTGACACTACTCTGCCCAGTGTGCCACTGGTACACTGGTACACAGGTACCACTGACAGATCCTACCCCAACATCTACAGAAACTCATAGGAATGTTGGAGAAATAAAACACAAGGACACAAGATTGGATGTACACAAACATATCTGTCAATCTCTGCCTTGACAGTCTTCCCAATACTGTTTTGATCAACAGTTTATCTCAAGTGAAACTGAATTTTCATGTTTTCTGTTCAATAACATGTTTTTAGAATTTGTGTGTTTAGAACAGTATGACAACTTTGACAAATGTAGGAGTGTTACAATCAATAGAATATCATCAACTTGTATGCCAGCTACTCAGAGACTGCCAACCCAACTGGTGCCCACTGCAGAAAGTGGGAGTTGGCCTGCACAGGAAACCAAACTTTCCTCATATCAAACTTTCAGGTCACATTTAGCACAATCTTGAAGGAGTGAGTGAGTAAATCTGGTTAATGCTGCTTTTTACAGATTACACATGTCAGTCTCTGTAACCTATATGTACAGATTACATCTTCAAGTGCCTGTAACCTATATGTACAGATTACATCTTCGGGTGCCTGTAACCTATATGTACAGATTACATCTTCAAGTGCCTGTAACCTATATGTACAGATTACATCTTCAAGTGTCTGTAACCTATATGTACAGATTACATCTTCAAGTCTCTGTAACCTATATGTACAGATTACATCTTCAAGTGTCTGTAACCTATATGTACAGATTACATATTCGGGTGCCTGTAACCTATATGTACAGATTACATCTTCAAGTGCCTGTAACCTATATGTACAGATTACATCTTCAAGTGTCTGTAACCTATATGTACAGATTACATCTTCAAGTCTCTGTAACCTATATGTACAGATTACATCTTCAAGTGTCTGTAAACTATATGTACAGATTACATATTCGGGTGCCTGTAACCTATATGTACAGATTACATCTTCAAGTGTCTGTAACCTATATGTACAGATTACATATTCGGGTGCCTGTAACCTATATGTACAGATTACATCTTCAAGTGTCTGTAAACTATATGTACAGATTACATATTCGGGTGCCTGTAACCTATATGTACAGATTACATCTTCAAGTGTCTGTAAACTATATGTACAGATTACATATTCGGGTGCCTGTAACCTATATGTACAGACTACATCTTCAAGTCTCTGTAACCTATATGTACAGATTACATCTTCAAGTGTCTGTAACCTATATGTACAGATTACATCTTCAAGTGTCTGTAACCTGTATGTACAGACTACATCTTCAAGTGTCTGTAACCTATATGTACAGATTACATCTTCAAGTCTCTGTAACCTATATGTACAGATTACATCTTCAAGTGTCTGTAAACTATATGTACAGATTACATCTTCAAGTGTCTGTAAACTATATGTACAGATTACATCTTCAAGTGTCTGTAACCTATATGTACAGATTACATCTTCGGGTGTCTGTAAACTATATGTACAGATTACATCTTCGGGTGTCTGTAACCTATATGTACAGATTACATCTTTGGGTGCCTGTAACCTGTATGTACAGATTACATCTTCAAGTGTCTGTAACCTATATGTACAGATTACATCTTCAAGTCTCTGTAACCTATATGTACAGATTACATCTTCAAGTGTCTGTAACCTATATGTACAGATTACATCTTCGGGTGTCTGTAACCTATATGTACAGATTACATCTTCGGGTGCCTGTAACCTATATGTACAGATTACATCTTCGGGTGTCTGTAACCTATATGTACAGATTACATCTTCGGGTGCCTGTAACCTGTATGTACAGATTACATCTTCAAGTGTCTGTAACCTATATGTACAGATTACATCTTCAAGTCTCTGTAACCTATATGTACAGATTACATCTTCAAGTGTCTGTAACCTATATGTACAGATTACATCTTCGGGTGTCTGTAACCTATATGTACAGATTACATCTTCAAGTGTCTGTAACCTATATGTACAGATTACATCTTCAAGTGTCTGTAACCTGTATGTACAGATTACATCTTCAAGTGTCTGTAACCTATATGTACAGACTACATCTTCAAGTGTCTGTAACCTATATGTACAGATTACATCTTCGGGTGTCTGTAACCTATATGTACAGATTACATCTTCAAGTGCCTGTAACCTATATGTACAGATTACATCTTCAAGTGTCTGTAACCTGTATGTACAGATTACATCTTCGGGTGTCTGTAACCTATATGTACAGATTACATCTTCAAGTCCCTGTAACCTATATGTACAGACTACATCTTCAAGTCTCTGTAACCTATATGTACAGACTACATCTTCAAGTGTCTGTAACCTATATGTACAGACTACATCTTCAAGTGTCTGTAACCTATATGTACAGACTACATCTTCAAGTGTCTGTAACCTATATGTACAGATTACATCTTCAAGTGTCTGTAACCTATATGTACAGATTACATCTTCAAGTGCCTGTAACAGGTATGTACAGATTACATCTTCAAGTGTCTGTAACCTATATGTACAGATTACATCTTCGGGTGTCTGTAACAGGTATGTACAGATTACATCTTCAAGTGTCTGTAAACTATA